ATTGGAGGGTAGAAAATGTTTTATGTGTAGTTTATTTTTCCTGTAATACTTCATTATAGTTTTTTAAGACAAAGCTAATTGAAAGGAGCGCTGAGCAGAGTTACAACCAGGGATTACAAATAATTTTTTTCTTCTGCAGTTCAGCGCCCCCTCCAGCAGATGGCGCTCTAGGCGACCACCTAGTTCGCCTATGCCAAGAGCCGGCTCTGACTGAAAACTGAAGCAATCAGTGCAGCTCAGACTCTTTTTAATATTATCCTTCATCCATGGGTATTTGAAGACAAACCTTTTGGTTTATTTTAAATTTAATTTTAAAGAATTAAAGCCATAATAGTTGTCAATATTTTCTATTTATTTTATTGTTTGCTTCTTACACAGAACCAATCTAAAGAAATGTTATTTTAGATTATTTTATGTTATTTAAAATGTTTTTTTTTTATCATAGATGATACATCAAGAATAAAAAAATTATTTTGACAGCTTTTATGGCTTTTAAGATAAAGCTTAATTAACTGAATGGTTTGAAAATGTGTTCACAAATTCAAAAGGATAAATCTACTCCCTTACCTCCTATGTTTATGTTCTGTCTTCTTCTGAATGGGTGTTCTGAACTGTAATTTCATTGTGCTCTGTACGATGACAATAAAGGTCTAATCTAATCTAATCTAATCTAATCTAATCTAATCTAATCTTATTAGAAGTCCTGAACTCTTGACTTTCATCAGACAATTAGAAACAATGTTCTCACACTTTTTTCGAGATCCAACAGGACCTGAAATAAAAGGAAATCCTTTTTTTTTTCAAATTTTTTCTTTTCAGCACACTGAGAAACAAACACACAGACACACACAGACACACACAGACACACACACACACAGGTGGGTACAGCATAGTTTAAACCAGCACCAGGTGAGCATCGTGAGGACAGGTAGAGGTTTGTGACTAGATGATCACAAGTTACAATCCCTGGACAAAATTCAAAACAAAAAGCCCAATGTCAGGAAGGAAAAAAAATGGGAGAAAAAAAACAATTATGTCACATAGTAACGACAAGAAATACTGAAATGCCCTTGAGCAAGGCACTGATTCTCCAACGGCTCGGCGGCTAGCAGAAAATGGCCGATGGTTCTCCTCCCTGAAGCTTTTTCAAACAGAGCAGGAAAAACCGTGAAATCTCACAAYAAATCAGAGTTCACAATTATTTCAGTTTTTACATAAAGAAAAAGAAACACATCTGTCTTTGTCGATAAAACAAGTTGCAGTTTTTAATTTGGTTTTTAAAATGAAAGAAAAAATAAAGATTTATCCCTCTAACAGCAGTTTGCAAAGCACATCCTGGTGACGACATGTCAAACACAATGAAACATCTCTGTTTCATCTGTAGACAATCCTTTAGTGCAGGGTGTACAACGTATGGTGCAGGGGCCATTTGYGGCCCCTGAATTCAAGAATTATAATAATTTGTTTACAAATGTGTCCCCCCGGCACAACTGTTTGATGGAGACTTTCTACTTATTAGGGCAAATTTATCACAAAGTAAAATCTTATAATAAAAATAATACCAGTTATTTGTCTTTAAATAAGCAGACTCTTAGCTTTAGTGACTTCTACTGAAAAGCTGATTTTGCTGCACTCTGATCTGCTTTTAATAATTTATTAAACTTGTCTGAATACAGCGAGCACTTTCAATGAAAGAGTGACGTAAATCCTGATTTTATTGATCAGAATTGACTAAATTGGGGTGTTTTTTCCCCCAATTGAAATGTAGAAAACTGCAAAATTTCTTTCAGTAAAAGAAACCTGCAAAACACATTTAAACTTCTGGATCTAGATTAATTTATGCATCCATTTCCAGCAATAAATCTGACTACTTTATATGTTTAAAGTATTCAGTTCTTAGTTTATTGTTGAGCAGGTAAAGGAGRAATATTCCTTCTGACTTTATGATTTTGGCCCATGTGACTAAATGTTTGGACAGCCCTGYTTTAGTGGGACATGTTGGCTTTAGACTGAAGGAGGAAAAGATGCTGTGAAGAGGTTTCACTCACAGCTCTTTCCTCTCCTCTGCATTTTGGCGTCTCTGAGGAAAGCTCCGGGCTGTGAAGTACGTTGTGCAACGGGCTGAAGTGATGAAAATGACATGTAAACAGCTCAATCAAGCCTCAGGTGTGGTGCAAAGCTGCTGCATGATAACAGAAATATAAATAAAGTGGTTTAACTGGTTTAACAGCTGATTATGAAACAGCCACTGAGAGGTGATCAGAGTGAAAACCACTGCTTCATGTCAGCTCATCACAGAATCAATAAGACAATAAGTTGTTTTAAGCAACACAAGAGTGACATTTCTTTTCTTGGTGTTTTACTTGAGCTGCTGCCGTCATTATACAGATTATTTTAGAGAAAACATTTCTTTTATCAGATTTGTTCACTTGTGTCTTATTATATGAGACCCGTCACATCAAAACCAGGATTAGGTCCAAAAGTTGTATAAGGAGAAAAAGGCAAATATAGTGTTTTGACTAAAATGTTAATAATTGCATTTTGTCAAAATATAATGAATTAAAGCCTTAATAATGTATCATTTGAATGAACTGTCTGAAATATAATCATAAAACTAAATTCTGAAGCACTTTTTTGAGCAGTAGCAACAAAAAAAAAAAACTGACTTTAAGGGAAAACAACTAAAATTTGGACATTTTCCCTGTGAGTTAGTAAAGTTTTGTTTCTATTTATCTGGTAAATCTCAATATTCAAATTTAACTCGAGGTTTCCTCTTTATAAGRACATCAAAAATTCCTCATTAAAATGAGATAAAATTAGGATTCAGACCAAATATTTATGTATTATTGTAACCAACAAGACAAATTAAGTCATATATATGGATTTAAT